CTGCTGTGCAGGAGCTGCCCTGCTGCCAGGAGGCAAAGGGAAGCTGTGGGAGAGCGTTGGAGATACCACTTGGAGAAGTGTTGAGAGGGAGGAGAGGAGCAGAGAGATTTTGAGCAGGGCAGGCACCTTTTCTGGTCTATATTGCAGGATCTGCCCTGCTCCCAGGAGACAAGGAGATACTTTAGGAGAGCATTGGAGACGCTGCCTGGGGAGAAGCATCAAAGAAAGGAGAGGAGCAGAGGGGTTTTGTAGCAGGACAGGCACCTCTTCCTCAGCTGCTGCACTGCAGGGGGGCAGAGATGCAGAACTACCTGCTCTCTAGTTCTGTAGGGCCAGAGGAGCTCCCAACTCTCAAGGAGCTCAGCAACAGTGGTAAGGCCATAGGTGTCCCTTGCAGCAGCACTATCAGGGCCAAGATTACATGGAGATGAGCTGTGGAAAGCCCCCCTGAGGCTGGGGCCATAGGGAGGGCTCTTTTGGATGGCAGACTGCAGTAAGGAGAACCCTGCCTTGTGGTGCCTTGAGGCTCTGGGGTGGCTTTGGTAGCTGTGACATCCCACCCTTAAGGGGAAGGGTGATGCTCATGGTAGAAAGGAACAACAAAAGTCCACAAGAACTCAAGATGTTTTATTAGTAAATTACATGCTTGGCATGCAAATTGCTATGTGAGTTTCTGACCTACTATATAAGAACATGGCAGTGGGTTTTGGATAAATGGGTAAGATGAAAAGGGAAAGAAAGGAAGAGATGAATTAAAGAGGAAGAGAGTGAGAGAAAGAAAAAGAAAGAAGGAAGGACAGAAGGATGGAAGGAAGGAAGGAATCAATCACTACTTCTGGTTCCAGTATCAGCCCAGCCAATGGGATTTCCTGGGGGCACCACCTGGGCTTGGTGGGGGTACCTTTTTATAGACACATTTCTATACCCCAAAGAGGTTTCTCGCTTTCTACGCAAATTAGTTATCATCTGCAGTCTGTTCTTTCACACCTTTCTGGAAATGGGTTGAAAGGCTTCAGGGGTCTTTGGTGTTCTTCATCCCCCCTACACTCCATGGTCACTTCTCGATCTCATTCCTGCACTTGCACTTTACTGTGTTGTGCTTCTCTCCAGGATTAATAACAAGGATGTTTGTCCCAGAAAAGTGCTCTTCTACTTCCTCATCGCCCCCTTCTCCAGCCTTATTTTGTCCTTTCCCATGGTGTGTTAGTATCAACAATCTCCAGTTATTACCAACAATCCTTGTGTGTTATCAACAAGCTTTGGTTGGCTCCACAGCCATCTGGCTATGAGTGTTTGAGACACACACATGATAATCACCTTCTGGGAACTGGCAGTGTCTAGGAGTGGAAATTCTCTTCCCAAAACTACTGCCTGCCTTTCCTCCCCAGGCCTATCATGGATGCAGGGTGGGTTGCTTTGAGCCTTAGGGCAGTCAGGAATGCAACTGCACAGCCCCAGAGATGAGAGTGGGCAAGGGGGGCTTAAGGGCGCTCCACTGTCACCTGTGTGGGTAGGGGCACAGGGGATGGTGGCTGTCACTGAATCAGAGCATGGCAGGGCTTTTCCTTTGCTTTCCAGAAATCTGGAAAATCTGGTCTGGAGCATCTCGCTACATCCACAGACAGCTCTTGCAGAAGAGGGTGAGTCCTGCCTCCTGCACATGCCTCACTGCCACGGTCCTTTGGGTGAGGGAATGGGACCACAACACTGCACAAAGGGGTCCGACAAGGTAGAAGGTCAGGGTGCAATGGCTACTTTATTGAGGTAGAGCAGGGACTTATATAGGGTCTGGTATAGAAGGGTTTGGTAACACGGGAGGAGCATGGGATTGACATTCCAGGGCATAACATAATAGGAGAATGCAGGAAGGGAGGAGGAACTTGGGAGGAGTTGGGCACTCACTTGGGACTCACTCCACACTGCGGCACTCCCCAGCCAATCAGTGCAGGATGAGCGGGAAAATGAAGGAGTAAACAACTTATGATGGGAAAACAGCTCTGGGCAAGCCTGGGCATTCCCCAGGCTATACAGGAAAATGGGGTTAATACAATCATATGAGGAAAATGTTTTAAACAATGTTTAAAACTGGGTATAAATGAGCAAGTGCATAAGATGGAGTCCCTTCATGCGCCATAAATTTCTCTGTAGGCTTTAAAACATTCCCAGTCAGACTCTGGCTCCTCAGCAACTCACCCTGTCCCTCTGGGCCTCCAGAGCAGGGGCCAAAGTGCCATTCCCAGGACCATGCCAGTCATGTGGCAGCCACCTCGACTCTGGGCAGCCCTGCCAATGCTCCCTCCTCTTGCTTGTGTTTCCAGGCAGTGGAGACTGGAGTTGGGACATTTGCAATTGTCCCAGTGCATGCCAGTGTGGAAGAGGGCAAGGTTTTGACTGTTGAGAGACCTGTGTTCATTGTAAACAAACATCTGAGGACATTCTACAACCTTGAGTGTGAGGAAACTAAAATTCCTGGTAAGAAAACGGGATGCCATCCTTACACAGGCCTTGCATTTGGCTTGTTGGCAACAGCTCTGACACGGCCA